CGCCCCCATGTGGGCCTGCCCCTCGCCCGGCCCCGCCCCTTCCCGTGCCACTCTAGGAGCCGCCGCTCCAACTCTCGGTGGTGACGCATCTCTACCCCAGCTGGACTCGTTTAGCGACCGAGAAGCTGTAGGTCTGTCTGTCTGTCGGGCGGGTTGGTAGGTTGACTGGTTACCCTTGGGGCTGCACTTCTGCAGGTCCCAGGCGGCCGCCCCTCCCTTGCCTGCTCCCGAGGTGTCTCTGTCCGCTAAGTCTTATACGGTATCTTGATCTCTGTTTATCCTCAGCGAGCCATCAGCGCCAGTTAGTGCTGTGCATCGCATCTTTCCTCATCCATGCGTCCTCTCTTGCCGTCTCCTGGAGCCATTGCCGTCTCCGCGGCCTGGAAGACCAAACTCAATCCCCCCTTCGGCACCGCCCCTCTCCTTATCTGGTGCCCCTACTTCTTTTCCTGTTCTTTTCTATGCCGCGTGGACTTTCTGCCTCTAGAACTGTGAGCTGAACTTCTCTTCATAAAATTACAGCCTTCGACTTTTCCATTATTACAGTAATGGAAACTCTGATACCGAGCTTAAATACTGAATTCTTTCTTGCCAGCTCACTTAGCCTGCACTCTGATTCCCCGTTTTTTGCCATTCTTGGGTCACTTTGGCCTGGATCCTGAGATAAGAGAGACCTTCCATCTCCAGGAGACAGGAGGTCCCCCGAGCTAGTCAGTGGAGGCCAGTGGGCCCTTCTGCAGGTCCCCAGTACACTGAAGGAGGGACAGGGCTTCTCCCACAAGGCATCCTGTGCTCAGAGAAGCAACCTTGGGAAAGCCTGCCTCACGCCCTCCAAGAGCACCTTCTCAGCATTCCAGTGAGGCTCACCCCTCCTCCAGCTGGATTCTCAGACTGCTGCCATCCCCCGCCACCCCCTTTCTCTTCCTCTCTCCATCCCGTTGACGTTTGATTCCAGGGCCTTCACACTGAGTCACACACCCCCCCCCTTGCTTTGAGACAGATTGTCACTAAGTTGTCAAGCCTGGGCATAAACTTGCTATCCTCCTGCCTAAGTTTCCCAGAGTGCTGGAATTACAGGCATGTACCACCACATCTGGTTACATGTTTAGTTTTGTAAGAATCAGCTACTCTGTTTTCCAGAGCAATTACACCATTTTGGATCCCTACCAGCAGTGCACGAATGACCTGGTTTCTCTGCATCCTTGCCAGAATTTGATGTGGTTACTATTTTTTATTTTTGTTTTATTTTATTTTATTGGTACCAGGGATCGAACTCATGATCTTGCACTTGCAAGGCAGGTGCAGTGCCACTGAACTAAATCCCTGACCCAGCTATTTTTTTATTTTGGCCTTGCACAACTTCTGACTGTTGATTGTGGGGTTTGTACACACAATTCTTTGTCCCATGTGTGGTTTGCAGATGTCTCCCTACTCTGGTTTGTCTGTTTCCTCATTGGGTCTTTTGCAGAGAAGTTTCTATTTTGGAGTTTTTTCTGTTTCTCTGTGGACTTCCCTTGGGGGATTCCCGAATTGGAACTGTGGCCAGAGTTTGCTCACATGGTCAGAGTTTTCTTGGGTGAGCACCTGAGACACCAAGATGATTCCTCCCAGGTGCCTCTGCTCCAGAGAAGACCCTGATATAAAAAATAAAACAAAACCAAAAAACCACCTCTCAATCAGCCAGACTTCCACGTCCCTGACCCTGTCACAGTCTGGTGGGTGGGAACCCTTTGATGCACAGCCTGAGGTCAGCTGGAATAGGTGCTGTCTTCCATGGTATTGAGCTGACATCTCAGTCCTATAGTGGCCCCTGTTGTCAGCGACCTGGGTGCAGAAATGGCCCTGCTCTGCCTTCAGCAGCACTGGCCTATCCCCATGTCTGATGGCTTCTGTATGCCCTGGTGGTCTCGGGAGGGCGCTGATGACGAGGCTCCTTCCTCAGGAATTTCCTGCTCTGGTGTTGGTGCCTGCTCCTCAGCAAGTTCTCACAATCTAGAGCAAGGAGCAGGAGGTAGACTGTGGATGGCTGCTTCCTGTCCTGAGAGGCAGGAAATTTATAGGGGAGACTCAGAGAAATCAAGTCTCTGGGCTCTGTCACCTTTTAGCAGGGGCCAGGGTTAGGCGTGAGAAGGAGAAGGTGACCCTGGAATATGTGGACAAACAGGACACACTTGACCCAGGGTGGGGGCACCCTCAGGAACTATAATGAGGGGTATATTAACCTGGACTGGGACCCAAGAAGGGTTTGCCTGCTGGACTAAGCCCCCTTTTGATTACCTAGAACCAGGTCAGAACCCACCCCATCCCAGCTGTCACAGTGGCCCCAGTGAGCAAGGAACAGTGTCCTCTGGGCTTGCACCTAGGCCACTACCCAGAGTCTGATCCGCAGCCTGGGATCTTTCCTCTTCAGGTACCACTGGCTTCTGGGACACATGTGTCCATCCTTGTCACCTTACCCCAGCAGAATGGGTTCTGCCATCTCTCCAGCCTGGGTCCCCATGCTGGTGGTCCTGGCCCCAGAGGAGGTGGGTGCATGCATTAGTTAAATGAGCATGTGATGATGGAGTCAGCTACAGTCACCAGACAGAAAAGGAAAGCTGGGGATTCTTCAGTCATAATGTGGGGCACACATCCTTCTGCAAAAGGCCAGCCCTTTAACACCCCTCCTCTGGGTTGCCTGTGGACAAGCCAGGCTAGCTTCTGAGGTTGTCTCTGTTGACCCCACCTGTGCTATGGAGCCTTGCTTGGCCCAACACAACCTTGTGTCCTCTTCTAGGACCTCTGACAGGGGAAGAAGTCTCAGCCCCATAATGTGACCCCCAAATGTGGCACTGGCAGCACTGGAGTGAGAAGAGGAAGGGTCAGTATTTCACCAGCTCACCTTTGTACCTCACCATCATGGCAACCCTGAGCACAGGTACTTGGGGGCAGGGACAGCACAAGGCAGGGAATCTCCATCACCATGCATCTCCTGTCACAAGTACGTGGAAATGCTGTTGGAAACTGACATGGGCCATGCGCTCAACTGCATAGGGAGCAGGATGGAAGCCAAGGAACAGAGGCTGTGAAAAAGGAGGCTGGCAGCACCTCCATCATGAGCTGTGACTCCCACCAAGCCTGTGCTCCTGTCATGCTCTACAGAGGGAAGACTGGGTTTCAGGGGCTCTTGTACCCGTTGCCCTGTCCCTTGGCCAAGGTACCCTGAGATTCTGGGCTGGGGGTCTGACCATGTCCCCAGCTGAAGCTTGGTCATGATCCATGGGAAAAGGCTGTGTTTTCAGATGGGTATCTATCTTGGTGACCAGGCCCAAAGACTTGGTTCTGGCCACGTCTCTATACCCCAGCCCCACCTCATGTTGCTGATCTGGCCAGGTCTCCTCCAGTGAGCTCCTAGCCAACCTTAGATTCTACAGAAGAGGAAAACAAGACCCAGGGGGGCAGGTGAGGTGTTCTCTGACCCTGGTGAGCCCTCCTGAAGCCTTGGGGTTACCTCAGGGTCCTTTATAACCCTCCAGCTGGTAGCCATCCCTCCCTAGGGGTACCAGGCTTCTGTGGCCTCAGCATGCAAAGCCTACCCTTTAGGCCTTAGGACCTCTGGTGTCCCCTGTCCCTCTCTAGCTCCTCCATGACTGGGCAGTGAGTGACCTGACTAGGGAGAGCTCTGAGCCTTAGCCAGGGCAGGCTCTGGGGGATGTGGGCATTTGCAGGGCCATCTTCTCATGTCCCGCTTACCCCATGGCGGAGGGATGAGTAGGTCTCCCTCCCCACCAGGCTAGTTCAACTCAGAAGGAGGAAAGGGCTGCTTTGACTCATGGCTTCAGAGGTTTGAGGTAATAGCCACTTGGTCCTGTTGCCTTTGGCCTGTGACAAGGAAGCACATCATGGTGGAAGTGTGTGGTGCAGGTCTGCTCACTTTGCGAGGGAAGGAGATGGAAAGAGAGAGGGAGAGGAAGAGGGAGAGAGAGAGAGAATGAGAATATGAATATGAATGTCAAGGGCCCTTCTTCAAGGCCTCATTGCTTTTTTTTTTTCAGCTTTAATTGAGTTTATTGGTACATTTTAGGGATACAGTACAGTTACATTCATTGTTGGGATCTTGTACCTCTACATGACAAGTCTTGATTCTCATTTTTTCCCCTTACCTCTGCCCTCCCTTCACCCCTCCTCCCCTCCCCATCTACAAACACTTTATTTTCATCTTTTCATTCTCTCACATTTTTTTCTTTTCCCTTTTTACTCTTCCCCTACCCATCACACCTTCCCTACACCTTTAGCTCCTTTGTTCCCATTTCTAAATGTCAGTAATCTTATTAGAATCTTATGCATTGTTGCAGATTATTTACACCAGGGAAACTATTCGGTATTTACACATGTGTGACTTATTTATTTCACTTAGGAGTATATCTTCAATATGTATCCATTTTCCTATGAATGAATCTATTTTCTCGTTCTTTATGGCTGAGTAATATTCCATTTTATAGAAAAACCACAACTTCTTTATCCAGTTTCCAACGGATGGGCAAATAGGCTGTTTCCAAGATTTAGCTATTACAAACTGTGCCGCTATAAACATGGGTGCACATACGTCTCTGTGATATGATTCTTTTAGTTCTCTTGGAAAGATACCCAGCAGAGGGATGGCTGGGTCAAATGGAACCTCCAGTCCAAGCTCTTTGAGGTATCTCCATATTGATTTCCATAGTGGTTGCACCAGTCTGCACTCCCACCAACAATGGAGAAGGGTTCCTTTCTCCCCGCAACCCCGCCAACATTTGTTATTGTGTGATTTCTTGATAGCAGCCATTCTTTGTGGGGTGAGGTGGAATCTCCGTGTTGTTTGCATCTGCATCTCTCGAATGACCAGTGATGTGGAACATTTTTTCAAATATTTTCTTGCTGCTTTGACTTCTTTGTCTGAGAAATGTCTGTTCATTTCGGATGCCCATTTTTGAATCGGGTCTTTATATTTGGGGGGACTGATTGTTTTGAGTTCTTTATATATCCTTGGTAATAGTCCTCTGTCTGAGGAACAGCTGGTAAAAATTTTTTCCCACATTGTAGATTGTCTCTTAGTTCTGCTGATGGTTTCTTTTGAAGGACAGAAGCTTTTTAGTAATATGAGATCCCAGTTGTTGATTCTATCTGCTAGTTCCCGTGACGCTGAGGATTTGTTCATAAAGTTTTTCCCTATACCAATGTCTTCCAGAGTTCTGCCTAACTTACCTTCCAGCAAGTTTAATGTTTCTGTTTTAATATTTAGATCTTTAATCCATTTGGATTTTAATTTAGTGCATGG